CTGAGGGTGGAGAAAGTATCTGCCAAATCTGCCAGATGATCACAACTTCGTTTGCTCTTCACCAGCATATCGTCAATGTAGACCTCCATGGTATTGCCGATCTGCTTTTTGAACATCCGATTCATCAGCCTTTGGTATGTCGCCCCGGCGTTCTTTAGTCCAAATGGCATCACTTTGTAACAGTAAACTCCCTTCGGAGTGATAAACGCCATTTTTTCCTGATTTGGGGGATGGAGAGGGATCTGGTGATATCCCGCTCGGGCATCCAAGAAGTCCATGCGTTNAACTGTATCTCTCGAATGGCGTTGGCCTTCAGGAGTTTGTCGATTTCTTCGTTGACCGCGCAGGCGTGATGCGGGGCCATACGTCTTGGCTTTTGTTTGACTGGCTTGTGCGCCGGGTCAACATGCAGCTTGTGCGTGATTATGTCGGGGTCTACCCTCGTCATTTCCATTGCATTCCAAGCGAACACGTCCGCATTTCCCCTTAGGAACTCAATCATCTCCTCCTATTCGGCTGCGGGCATCGCGGTTCCGATTAAGAAATGTCTTTCTTCTTCTCCCTTCACCAAGGGCACCTTCCGGAGGTCCTCCACCGACCGCTCAGTTGGGTCTATCCGGGGGTCGTCCATTCCTGGACGTCCGGACTGTGATTGTTATTTCTCCATGATCTCTTCTGGGGCTTGCCCCTTTTCTTGGGTGAACGCCCCGGCTCTAACAGCTGAATAAAAATATTTTTTTGCGGACACTTGGTCCCCCCGGATCTCCGTGATACCTTCTGGAGTGGCATACTTTAGTTTCTGGTGGTAAGTGGAGTGCACCGTTCCCAACGCATGCAGCCATGTTCGTCCCATGATCACGTTGTAGGGAGAGTCCGTNCAAATTTTAGTTTCTGGTGGTAAGTGGAGTGCACCGCTCCCAACGCATGCAGCCATGTTCGCCCCATGATCACGTTGTAGGGAGAGTCCGTATCAATTACGACAAACTCGGTGTTGATGACGAAGGGACCCGTGACAACTGGCAATGTGATTTTACCTACGGGCAGGGCGAACGAGCCGTTGAATTCGATAAGGGGTGTCCTGACCTTGGTGAGGTCCTTGAGGCCAAGACCCATCTGTTTCAAAGTCTCGGAGTACATCACTTCTGAGGAACTTCCAGAGTCTATCAACACCCTTTTGACGTCGAATTTTCCTATCTTCAGGGTCAAGACGAAGGTGTCGTTATGAGGAGTCACTACGCTTGTCAAGTCCGCGTCGGAAAACGTGATACTGGGCTCACCAGTCCTGGCCCTTTTGCTGGCTGGCCCCCCATCATCCTCGACTACCTTCCTTGTAAAAACTACCCTCTTGAGGTCGGACTCGAGTTCCTTGGACGTGGAGCGATCCAGGGGACATACATGGATGACATCTATGACGTTGTCCGGCTCCTCGNCTTCCTTGTAAAAGCTACCCTCTTGAGGTCGGACTCGAGTTCCTTGGACGTGTGGCGATCCAGGGGACATACATGGATGACATCTATGACGTTGTCCGGCTCCTCGGTCGGGACAAGGGTGTGTCTCTCTTCTGGCCTAGGCTCTATGTATTCTTTCAAGTTTCCGTCTTGGACTAACCTTTCCAAGAACGATTTGTATGCCCTGCAGCTTTCGGTGCGATGTCCAAAATCCCGGTGATAGGAACACCTAACCTTTTGATCACGGGTGGAGGGATCACTCTACATCCTGGGCGGCCACGTGAAGAACGGCTCATGCTTGATTTTATGGAGCAACTTGAAGATGGGTTCCTTGAACATAGTGTGAACTCCTTCGGACGAACCCCCTGGAGGGGGTAATAATCCCTTTCGGGGAGTATCTTCCCGCTCCCTCTCCTTTCTCTTAGATTGGAGGGTTCGGCCTTTGCTGCTTCCTATCTCGTCCTCGATCCTCGAGTATTTATTTATCCGGGCCATCAGCTCACCCATATCCGAGGAAGTCTTATTGGTCAGGGATCGGTACAGGTTCGTGTCCCTTGCCAAGCCGAGCTTGAAAGACGCCGCTGCCATGACTTCCAAGCAGCCTTCTACCTCGTTTACCTCTTCCCAGTATCGGATGGCATACTGGCGAAGGGTCTCGGATTCCCTACATCTGAGCGTTAGCAATGATCCAACGTCTTTGGGCCACTTACTCCCTGTAATGAATCGAGCCAGGAACTGCCTCGTCAATTCCTTCCACAATCCAATACTGTTGGGGGGAAGCGCCTCGAACCACTTCATCGCAGAGTCTCCCAAGCTCATAGGAAACACTCGGCAGAGGAACCGTTGGTCCGAATGATAGAGGGACATTATCTGTTTGTATTGCCTGAGATGGGCTTCGGGATCAGACCGCCCGTCATAAGTTTTAAACCTCAGAACGACAAACTTTCTTGAAAACTCCATCTCTCCGATCTCCCTGGTAAAGGGTATTTGCATGACCTCGTCTTCAGCCTCATCCTGGACAGCCTTACTCTTTCTCCTAGATTCCAACCAGGCTCTAAGATCAATTTCCTCCCTGACGGGATGTCTTCTGAAGTCTTTGAGTTCATCAATAGGCCCCCCATTTCTTGGGCGCCGTGTGGATAGGGTAGAATCCTCCTCGGACTCATCTCCCTTCCTCCGTCTAGACAATCCTCGCCGGAGGTCGTCTAGGGCTAACGGCCTTGCCTTCCTGGAATGGTCGTTTGGAGGGTGTTCGTTGGCTCTCGGTCGTTTTGGGGCCCTGGAGCTTTCTGCCTTGTTGNGTCGTTAGGAAGGTGCTCGTTGGCTCTCGGTCGCTTTGGAGCCCGGGAGCTTTCTGCCTTGTTGTTTAGATGATTCCTTAGATCCTTCGTTTTCGCCTCCCGGGCGGGGAGCCCACGAGAGAGGAATGAGTCCCTTGACCCTTTGCCGCAGGCGGCAAATTTGTTGAGCCGGCTTAGGACGTTTACATTATCCTTTTCCAGCTGTCGTAATCTATCGCCAAACTTTTCTTCGATCACCTCCGCCAGCTAATGAGCCAGGGGGGCTGATCCTCCTGACCTGATTCCCATATTGGTTTGAGGGGTAACCCCTCTTGACTGAGTAGAGGCATTTTTATTCCCATCAGTGTGATCCCTTCCTTTGTGGTGATAGAGAGCTTGTAATTCGAGACTTCTTTAGTGGGGACCTTTCCCTTTTTGTCGAGTGTTCACCATGGTCACTGTTCTTTACAGAGAAAAAACTAGGAAGACTAGTCGTTTCCCACAGACGACGCCAGATTGTGCGTGCTGGATCTTGCACAATATAAAAACGAGAACAGATCTCTCCCTTGGTGAACTCGAGTGAATCGGTGGAGTGGTCAGCCACGCTGCTTGGAACAGCCTGTGAAATCCTGTGGTAACCTGGAACGGTAATGGGAGACCCTCGTGGATCAAAGGAACGATCCAGTAAGGCTGAAGAAAGATTCTTGAAACAAAGAAGAACAAGTTAGAAGGGCGCCGGAGTGTTTTTTGGCGTATCCCCTCCGACGGTCAAGTCAGTCTTTGAGAGAGAGAGGAAGAAGAAAACACTGAGTATGTATTGTAGCAAAGGTTTTTTTGTTGCCTACCATCTTGCCTTTTGTGATGAGTATTTATACCTCAAAATCTCATGATTGATGTCAGTGTAGTCAGTAGGTGATCATTAGGTACAAACTGTGTGCACACTGATTCTGATGAAGAATGTCTTCTCTTTCAACTGCTTGGGATCCCGAGCAATCAATACTGTGTCATCGGTCTGCCGACTGTTCAATGAGCTCCCCTCGGAGAGGACGCAATAAATGTCCAGTCTTAGAGGCATTTATTGCCTTTCACTTCTAAGCCTTACCGCATTGAATGCAGTCTCATCAAGGGAATGACGTAATTAAATGTTTGCTCTCCCAAGTCGCGTGTCAGCAAGGCCATGCGGTATTTCTGTCTCTAATGTGACACAATATGCCACGCATCCATTCCTCATTGGTTGTGGCCCCTGCCTTCCTGTGCCTTCTGACATCGATTGTGTAAGACGAGGTCATGATAGCTAACCTAGCCTAGCTTAGGCTAGTGACCAGTGCATCAATAGCCTCTGCTGGAGCAGAGAACTTCATCCTGGATCATAGGGGGTACATCTCGGTACCGAGGGAGAGGTACATCTCAGAGCCGAGGAAGAGGTACATCTCGGAACCGAGGAATAGGTACATCTTGAATCCGAGAGGGGGAGGCCTAGCGACCGATGTACCATATCAGACCGAGGGTACGTGTCGGTACACAAAAACGTACTGGATGTCACTCGATCCCATGATAAGTACCTCGGGGTAGAGGGGACTTGTGACCCGATGGGTACGTGATCTCGATAACAAGGATCAGTGACACCGAGGACGTGTCTTCATCTTGGAGTATTCTGGAAATGTCCCATCAACTGCACCCCAGCCTTCGATCTTCTGACACCGAGGACACGCGTTGTAAGGAGATGAAGTGTTTTGCAACAACCTCAACTGCTTCATCATTGCCCCTAGCCGTTTTTCCTACTTAGGATGTCGTGCGCATTAAATGCGTCGTTCCGTGCTTCGCGCCTAATGATGGGATAGGTGCTATATATAAAGGGGCTTTCTCTCTTCTTTCCTCATTTCATCGTTCTGAACTTTTCTTCACAGAGAGCCCTTGCCTGAATCGTCGCCGGAGACCTCTTTCCTTCCGTTTGTCAACTGCCCAACCTTTTCACTGAAGCTTTAAAGCCAGCAGACTCATCCTTGCTTCTGAACATTCTTGGAAGGAGTCGATTCAAGTTTTCCAGAAAAAAAAAAAACTTCTTTCTATACTCTGGTGAGTCCCAGTATCTTCCCTTTCTTTGCCCTTCTGTCTCTTTTGGTTTTCCGATCACCGGAGGTGTTTTCTGGTTGCCCTTCAGCGACCAATCCCCGGGAAGCCTTCTTGGGGATCTTCGTGGAAAAGACCCCCTCTATAAAGAGAGAGAGCAAAAGCTGCACTGAGCATGAGAGGGAAAGTTACTTTTTGGGCCCTAAAGAAAATTTTCAGAGGATTGATGAAGGATTGGAAGAGGAGGTCTGGGAGAGAGAAGGCAAGATAGGAAGAAGCGATGGATGAAATGGTTGGGTATTGGCCACAAAAGAGAAGAATTGGTTCGATGTTTAGCCACAAGAGAGAGATGGTTTGCAAGCAGATACGAGAATTGCAATGGTACGTTGGAGGTGTGACCCATGAGAGGCCATTGTTTTGCTCCATAAGCTTGAGAAGATAAGGCTTCCATGCCCATGGCAAGGCCTGAAATAACCGAATACCCAGTGATATTGGCGATCCCAATGGAGAAAGACCCACCTGCTAAGGCCTCTTTTCCTAATCTTCCCATGAACACCATTGATATCGCAGATTTGCTGTATATAAGGAGGCCTGTGATGATCATGGGGAAGGCAATGGCGTAGAGCTGTTTGATCTCTTCAACTACCTGAGCAAATATAGCGAGCGAAAGAGAGAGCATTGAAACCTCACAGTAGAAGAATAAAAAAATAGACAGAGAAAACTACGGCATACTTGGTTCAAAAAAAAAACTAGAGTATCATACATACCTCAGAAAGGGTTGGTGCAAATCTCTGACATTGTGAATCTTGTTCGTGTGATATACATGTACCTTTATCTTCATGAGCACTTACTTTCAATTTGGGAAGGCTATGATACACTGATAGAGGAGTTGAAGTGACAAGAGCCATATCATTCATCTTATCTTCTCTTTTTTTTCAGTGAGTTAAAGATCTTCTTTATTATCCGTCCTTCAATCAATTTTTTTTGTCTGATCGAGTTTCACGTACTGCTATGAAGAAATCAATTATGGAGAGTATAGAGAGAAGACGATGAGAAAGAAGCTGAATTGTGGGATAAGGTCAATGAGGACTCGAGAAGTAGTTATGAGTGTTCCTTTTTTTTCATCTTCTTCGTCCTACAAGTAACATCTTTAAGCCTGTGTGTGTGTGTCTGTGGGTGTGTGTTATATAGGTATATATAGCTGGTGCGGGGGAGTCTTAGAGTTTGGTGGTGAGAAATGGACGAGTAAGGGCAGGATCGGGTGGGAGGTGGCAGTGAGAAGGTAAAGTCATTTTTGTCAAGGGGTCCATTTTGTTACTAATACTGTTCCCTACCTCACTGACTGCTAGCGATTCCATGCAGATGCCAACGCTTAGAAAGGTGTCATCTCATGATGTGTGTCATATATGACTAAACCATGTTTTGTTTACCAAATTCTTCTCTCTTTCTGGTCTGGAAACTACCGTTAGGGTGCAATTTAGGTTGCGCATTCCGATTTTATCTCGAGCCTAACTCAAAAAAATTAAGACTTGGACAAAGATTTCTAATATTTGGGTTGGACTTGGGTCAAAAAATTTCAACCCGAATTCAATTTGGATTGAGTTCAGGTTAAGGTCTCGTGAACTCGTGTTCAACTCGAATCCGACAAATTAAAAAAAAATTATATATATATATATATATATATATA